CCCCCCACAACTCAGACCTGATCTGCTTGTTAATTAGTCTAACACATGCACTGTTTAGTCTCCATAATAAAAATGATTTATATTATAGATATCAAATTCATAAGAATACATTTTATTGCACTTTACATTTTTTGGGAACACAATTCCAGTCCCAGAACAACAATAGAGACTACTTTAATAATTTTATAGAGTATTTAGTGAACAAATTAATATTTTTAGAGACTGCTGAACACACACACACACACACAAAATACTTGGAAATATAGTCAATAAATAAACAACAACAAAGATATTCTATGACCACAAGAAAGCTCCAAGCTCCTATCTCTCTCTCTCTCTCTCTTCTGTTAAAGGCTGAGCCCTGTGGCTATAAACTCTCCTTCCACTAACTAAATTACTACCACTGTTTTGCGTTCCCTGCAGAGCGACTCTAGTGTTGCTGATCACCAATCATTTCCTCCCGCTCACATCTCACACAAACGTGCGCGTGTCCAGATATGTTGATTTCTGTCAATTATCTCAGTCAGCTGTTGGCCTCCTGGTCAGCATAGGGCCGGCGTTACTCACACTGTCCTGTAGCTCGGCACAGAGAGGGACACTGTTTTAATGGAGCCCTCCGGGACAGGACCCCACACCTGCGCTCATGTCGTGCTAAGGAAGTGTCGGTGAAGCACCAATATAAAATAACAAGAGGTGTTGCAAGAACTCAAAACATTCTCATTGTCTCAATGAAGCCTGTACAAGATAATCATGAATGCCACCTCTGTAGATGCGCTAGTACCGTTTGGCAATGCAAAGAGCAAAAATTAGACAATGAAACTTAATCAGACAATATTATCCTGCTTTACCTACAGACAACAGGAGAATTAGTACATGTACAGCTGAAGAAGCAAAAAGATTCTGAAGCCAGAAGGCGAAAACAAGAGTGAAAATAAATTTGATGTGATGCCCAAGTTGCTTCTTTTTTTGTTTGACAGGTAATATATTGTGTAGACCGCTACTAAACTCAGTGTGATTTCAGTGTAATTTACATAATATAACATGGGGTATTGGTACCAACACTAGCTAAAGAACTATGAATGCCCCTTAAAATAGGGTGCAAAAACCATAAAAGTAGTATAAAAGTGGTCCATTCAGCTATATATAAGCCATACAATAGCTTTGGATCAGAAAGAGAACAAAATTAAAATCAGCGTTCACTGATAATTTATCCTCCAGCGAGATACTGAAGGAATGGTTCACCCAAAAATGAAAATTTGCTGAACATTTACTCACCCTCAGGCCATTCAAAATGTAGATGAGTTTGCTTCTACATCTGAACAGATTTGGATAGATTTAGCAGCATTATTTCACTTGCTCACCAATGGATCCTCTGCAGTGAATGGGTGCCGTCAGAATGAGAGTTCAGACAGCTGATAAAAACATCGCAATAATCCACAAGTAATCCACATGACTCCAGTCAATCAGCTAATGTCCTGTGTAAAGCTGCATGTTTGTAATAAAGAAATTCATCATTATCCATCTTTAAGGCATTTTAATTTTAAACCGTTGCTTCCAAGCAAAATACCATAATCCATAGTAACCCTTCCTCCAGTGCCTCCATCCTCTGTTGTCCTCTCACATCAAAATCCACCAACATATTTGTTTAGAACTGTTTTCGCTTGTAAACGGCACTTGATCTGTGCATTTCTCTCCTGATTCGGAAGAGATGACTTTTCCACTGGAGAAAGCAATATTATGGATAAAGGACTCTTTTAGCTGGAAGCAACAGTTTTAAGTAAAAAATGTCTTCATGATGAATTTGTTTATTACAAACACACAGCTTTTCGCTTCACAAGACATTAATTGATGAACTGGAATTGTGGATTATGTGTGGATTATTATGAACAAAGCATTTACACCGATTTTGTGATTCAAATGATTCACTGAAAAGATTCAACCCAAAACAAATTATTTGTTTACATTTACAGTTATGAAAACATCAAGGAGAGCTAGGCCACGTCAAGTTTTTTTAATGAATTAAATTTGACTTAAATTCACACATATTTCAGCTTGTTTCTCACATAAAAGCTATCATATGATTTCTGAAAACTTGACATAGTATAGTGCATAAGTCATACAGGCCAACTTTTATGATACCGTTATGCTGCTTTCTTTTTTGAAGCTTTAACGCTCTAGTCCTCATGAAAAAGAGCTACCAACAAAATCGTCAAAACATTATCTTTTGTCTTCCCCAGGAGAAAATAAGTCATTCAGCTTTGGAACAAAATAAGGGTGAGTAAATGAAGACGGAATTTCATTTTCAGTTGAACTGTGCCTTTAAAGTTATTTGTTGAGGACAGCTGCTGTTATTTGGGACTGTCTGTATTTCTTACCATTGATTGTTCTGATATCATTGATAGAAACAGACAGAAAGAACACAGAAATATGCTCCTGACAGTTAGTTCTCTAGTCTACTTTTTTAAACTAACACACACACACACACACACACACTGCAACAAATGCCAAATGTATGTTTACAGAACAATATGACGCATTGCTCTGGCAGGGAGTTGTCGTATGCTGGCCTCTTTATAAAATAACTTCCTCCATCTTTCCTTCCAGACTGAAGGTCTCAAATGATCACACACAACGTGTTTAATACTCACTTAATTCTCGCTGTGCTCATTGAGGAGTGTGTTTTATAATTGTAGAAGTGATAGTGTTGCATGTTCTTAAGACCTGGACAAGAAGACTTCCTATCAAAGGATCTTTATTAGCTCAGAGCTTTGGTGAACCGCTTCAATCCTCTGACAGCCTCCCCTTTGTTGATTATCAGCTCATTACGCAAGGAAATTTCATTCTCTTGTTTCAAACTGAGCAGTCTCTGTAAGTCATTAGCTCAAAATGTGTCATCGCTTATCAGCAAAGCTTTGCAGCACTAAAACAGCTGAGCTTCTTTTAGTCTGGTAAAGTTAACGGGATGGGCTCAGACAAAAACGAAACTTGCCATCATTTATTCACCCTCATGTTGTTCCAAGCTCATTTTCTTCCTTCAGTGGAATCAGAATTTCTTCAGAAGATATTTCAGGAGAATTTCAAAGTGTCTGTTTTCCATACAATAAAAGCATATATTAACCAGGTGCTGTCAAGCTGACAAGTAAAGTTTCCTGATTTCAATTCAGAATGTTCACTGATCGCGGTCTAGTTTATCTAATAGGTCTTCCCAGCCAACATTTGTGTGTGGGGCCCATGTGGGTTTGACATGGGTTGAAAAAGTGGGCCCAAAATGGGATTGTCCGCGGGTTCCATAATGGCCCAATGTCAATTGCCCACATGGATTTCATGTGGGATTGTACTTGCCAACAGGTGGGCCCCAACTGGGCAACATGCGCAAGACCCATCTTGGCCCCAGCTTTATTTTTTATGTGGGTACTACAAGGTTACTACATGGGCTGAAATATGGGTTGTAAGTGGGTTTGTCCACGGGTTCCATGTTGGCCCCGTGCAACTTACCCATGTGGGTTTTATGCAGGATTTCCCTGGGCTTTAGGTGGGGCCCAACTGGGGATGATATGCAAAACCCATCTGGGTCCCATCTAAATATGGGTTGTAAGTGGGTTTGTCCACAGGTTCCATGTTGGCCCCGTGCAACTTACCCATGTGGGTTTTATGCAGGATTTCACTGGGTTTTAGGTGGGGCCCAACTAGGGATCATATGCAAAACCTATCTGGGTGTTAGGGTGGGCCCAACAAGACAATATGCTTAAAGCCCACCTGAAAAAAAAATTGTTTTCAACACCACACAATTTTTTTTAAAGCATTAGAGCACACAGTGAGATTGAAATCTCTTCAAATTTTAATTTTATTGTAACTACCCATCTTATTATGCTATATTCTGATACATAATTGTTAAAATTAATATTACTGTTAAAGTTAACACACTTTGAACCTGTTTTTGAACCAGTGTTTACTGAAAGCTTTGAACATTTGCACAAGAAAAACACCGGGGACAGAAGCAGCAGCAACTATACATTTTTCAGTACTGCAGACATACAGTTGTGCATTCTAGACACCCTCAGTCCTCTTGTACCAATTTTGAGAGTTCCCTCTCAGCTTCTTGCCGGTTGCCGTCTTCTTAAGAGCCTCTGCAAAACAAAATTTATAATATAATATATATATATATATATATACATATACATACAGCTATATAAGAACTAGGACCCACATAGGGAGCCCATCTGTTTTTGCCAATGTGGGACCTACTTAGCTGACCCAAGTGGGCCCCAGATAAGATGCCCATTTTGGGACCATGCCCACTTGGTACCCATGTAGACCCAGCATAAACCATGTGGGGCCCACATATACATGTTGGCTGGGTTCAACTCTGCTCCTGGGGACCCACTGTCCAGCAAACTTTATCTCCAGCCTGCTTCAGCATACCCAGCCAATGATTTTTGAAGTGATCCTGAAGATCTTGATTAGCTGGGTCAGGTGTGTTTGATTAAGGTTGGAGCTGAACTATGCAGGACAGTGGGTCCGCAGGAACAGGGTTGAAGACATGATGATGGACAATAAAACAGTTACTCGCAGTTACCTCTTAAAAATAAAGGTTCTAAAAGGGGGTTTTCGCAACAAAGCCATAAAAGAACCATTTTGGGTTCCTTAAAGAAATTTTCAGTAAGTTTGTAAAATAACCTTTTTCCACTATAAAGAACCTTTTGTGCAATGGAAAGGTTCTATGGATGTTAAAGGTTCTTCGTGGAACCATCAATGCCAATAAGAACCTTATATTTTGAGCTGTGAGGTCACGTAATATGAAATAAACGTGTGTCTGAAATATTGATATGTAAACATTCAGATGACTTTTCGTTTTGTTCAACGGAAGAAATATGGGACAACATGTGGGTGAATAAATAACGACAACATGTTCATTTAGTGGTGAACTGTTCCTTTATCGTTAAACAGTATTGTTCAGGAAGCAGTTTGTTTTGCATTCAAAACAGCATTTTTACATATCTTGTGCCACAAAAACACAAGTGCACAGCTAAATCTCTCTCTGTGCTTCTGTCCATGCCCTGTGTCTGTTCCCCCCTCCACCAGCTCTCTGTCGTTCACTAAAGTTTGGCTGTCAATCAGATCTACCCTCAGGCTATGTGCACTGATTAAAACCCCCCAGAGATAAGGAGACCTAAATTAGATTTCAATAAGGCCATTGAATATTCATAACAGGAAAACATCTAAGGTAAATGCTTTTTGATCTCGGCTTACAAATACCACTTGTGTGCATTCCCAGGACCTTTCACTCGGGCTCCAAGTGTCGCTGTGCCACGGTGAGCCGGTCCGGCTGCAGCAGCGGTTCAGCGCACACTCCTCCGGGGGATGCGGATGAATACTGATGACAGCCTCCATAAAAGAGGCCGGGCATTAATTATGTTTATACTAAAGGGACTCAATAGAAAGGGCACCCACACTAAGCATTCATTAATTAGTACAGCGGGAGAAGCTGACTGGGTGAAAAAGATGGAAAAGAAACTGACTCGCACACATACGGAGGACTCCATTAAAGCAGCGGGATACTATTATTGAATAAGTTTAGAGGGTGTGCGCGAGCGTGAGCTCCAGCCGGACCATAAACCATTCTCCAGACAACTTATTTATGTCGTTTTCTACAACTTCTGGTTTTACGTCTTTAATGAAAATGCCAGCAGAGTGTGTGGTGCGAGTAGCTAATATCCATGTTTCTAATGATATTATAGCCATAAACCCAAAGGCTAATTAGAGTTCTTTATTTGTAATATATGCTCTTGTATCTCGTTGTTTTTAATTAATTTACATTTAATCAATGTACTTCTATAGGTGAAACTAGGGTCAAGGACTTCAGATTTGTGTTTCGTCATTCATTTGACTGCAGGAGTGCATAAAAAATACTATGCATACTCTTCTGTACTACATAGGAAGCTATGTAGAAATGTATCTGCAAAATATTTCTGTTGAAATTCTGAAGTGCGCATCCAATGGACACTTTATTATGAAATTGTAGGTCACATGACAATGCCAACTTGGTGGATGCACCATTGCCAGGTTTGCAAAAACACAACCCGGGACTGTACAAATCCAAAACAAGACCATAGTATCACAGTTTCCACATCGACAATAGTAAAAAATGTTTCTTTAATCAGCATATTAGAAGGATTTCTGAAGGATCATGTGACACTGAAGCCTGGAGTAATGATGCTGAAAATTCAGCTTTGCATCACAGCAATAAATTACACTTTGAAATATATGAGGAGTTCAGATGCAAAAGCCTCTAAGTGCTGTCTGAAATTTTATTATAAACTTAGCATTTTTTCAGGCTCCTATGTGTAGGTTCAGTAATTTTACTTTAATGGCAATATATAGGTCATGTTCTATGCCATTAAAGTGAAAGAACTGAACATAAATATAGGAGCCTGATAAAAATGGCCATTTTAGATGAACATTTCAGATGGCACTTAGAGGCTTTTGCATCTGAACTCTTCATATTCACATAGAAATCAGTTCTTTAAAATTGTAATACTATTTCAAAATATTACTTTTTTACTGTATTTTAGAAATGCAGCCTTGGTCAGTGTAAAAGGCTTCTTTCAAAAACAATAAAAAATCTTGATGACCCCAAACTTTTGAACAGTAGTGTATATTTTATGAACAGATGAGAAGTTCTTTATCAAATCCAGTACATAATCTACAGTATTGATTTCCGACACAGTTAAAGTATCTGGGACAACTGAAAAAGCAACATGGTTATATTCAGAATAGAATACTAGAGAACTGCATACTCTAGTGTCTACTGTGTACTGCCTACTATTTTTAACAGTAAGGCTATGTGAAACAGAACAGATTAAGCATTGTTTCAGACAGCAGTGCACTACATTACTGCCACATGATGTCATAATGTTGCATATTTATTGTGCATTTTTTAATCTAATATTGTGTAAAATGGTCTTAACTTTTGGCAGGCCATGCAAGTATATAATATAATATAATATAATATAATATAATATAATATAAAATAGAATAGAATATAATCTTATAATATAATATAATATAATATAATATAATATAATATAATATAATATAATATAATATAATATAATATAATATAATATAATATAATATAATATAATATAATATAATATAATATAATATAATATAATATAATATAATATAATATAATATAATAAAGAATTGCTAAAAATCTTGGTTTATATTACTTCCAGTTCACAGGAAATGGAAGTTCAAATTGAGTGCATTGCATTGTGGGATAGAGTGTGCTTCATTTTATGCTAAAATATTAACTATAAAATATAGATTAAGAATAAAATACATCATTTGGCATAATATAGGCTGGTCTCCCCCTCCTCCCGCATGTTTGAGGCGAGTGTGTGCTGTGTGTGAAGAGAGAGGACTGGTGTAGTTTGTGCCTGAGGCTGTGCTGTGACAGTCAGCCCAGAACGTTTGGCGAAAAGTCTCAACCAGACATCAGGAAACCAAAATGTCATTCACTGATGGGGCCAGTGGGAATCTCCATAATAATACTGAATCGTTAAATGAAGATTTGACCCTTGACACTGCTCTCATAGTGTCATAGGAGAAGTTTTCTGTTAAAGCATCATTATTGTTTAAAATATTTCTGATGTATGTAACTGCCATTAACATAACAAACTCTCTGTTTCTGTAAATATAAAATGCACATCTAAAGATAATTAATTCAGTCAAAATGATTTGGTTTTGGCATAGTCGTCACTAAAACTACCACCATATTTACTCCTTTTTTATGTTCAATCCCTCTTTCTTTTTCTCTCTCACTCTTTCTCTTGCACCAGATGATGGTCATTATGTTGCCAGGCAATCTGGTCTGTCAGATTCACACTTGCTTTTACCCCCAGATTTCTCTTTTTTTACTCGCTCTTTCTCCAGCTATCTCTCTCTCTCTCTCTTTTCTTTCTTAAGTCAGGACTGTAATCTCTCATATACCATTAGATGAAGAAAAAAATACAAAACACCTTTCGGTTGTGTTATCTATATTGGACAGTGTATTTGTGTGTGTATTATCTAATGTATTATAAAATCGGAAATTACCTACATTTTAAGCATCATATGATGGTCAAGAGGAACACAGCGTAATAAACACACTAAATAATGTCTTAATTTGATGCTGAAAATTCGGCTTTGCATCACAGGAATAAATTACAATTTATATTATATTAAAATAGAAATCAGTTCTTTAAAATTGTAATACTATTTCAAAATATTACTTTTTTACTGTATTTTAGAAATGCAGCCTTGGTCAGTGTAAAAGGCTTCTTTCAAAAACAATAAAAAATCTTGATGACCCCAAACTTTTGAACAGTAGTGTATATTTTATGAACAGATGAGAAGTTCTTTATCAAATCCAGTACATAATCTACAGTATTGATTTCCGACACAGTTAAAGTATCTGGGACAACTGAAAAAGCAACATGGTTATATTCAGAATAGAATACTAGAGAACTGCATACTCTAGTGTCTACTGTGTACTGCCTACTATTTTTAACAGTAAGGCTATGTGAAACAGAACAGATTAAGCATTGTTTCAGACAGCAGTGCACTACATTACTGCCACATGATGTCATAATGTTGCATATTTATTGTGCATTTTTTAATCTAATATTGTGTAAAATGGTCTTAACTTTTGGCAGGCCATGCAAGTATATAATATAATATAATATAATATAATATAATATAATAAAGAATTGC